CCCTCACCCACATCTTCAATCTCTCTCCCTCTCCTCAGGCACTTTCCCCTCCCCTCTGAAACATGCACACATCACCCCCATACTTAAAAAGCCCTCCCTGGACCCCAATGACCCGAACAACCTCAGACCCATCTCCCTGCTCACCATTTTACATCTAAAACTCCTCGAGCGCCCTAGTCTACACCCGCCTATGCTCTCACCTCACGACAACAACCTCCTCGATCCCCTACAGTCCGGCTTCCGTCCCCTACACTCCACCGAAACTGCCTTACTCAAAACTCTCTACAACGACCTGCTAACCGCCAAAGCTAATGGCCACTATTCAGTGCTCCTACTCCTTGACCTCCCTCTGCGCCTTCGACACAGTCGAACACCCCCATCCTCACACAAAAAACACTACACTCCTCGGCCTCAGAGATTCTGCTCTCTCCTGGCTCTCATCCTACCTGTCACAACGCTCCTTCAGCAGTTACCTATAATGCTACTACCTCCCCCTCACTCCCCCTCACTCCCCCTCTCTGTTGGGGTATCTCAAGGCTCTGTCCTCGGGCCCCTTCTCTTCTCCATCTATACCTCCTCCCTTGGCCAACTCATACACTCTCACGGCTTCAACTACCACCTCTATGCCGACGACACACAAATCTATCTCTCAACCCCCCAACCTCACCCCTTGGTCTCAGCTCGAATCACACACCTACTGAGCGACATATCAGACTGGATGTCGCTCCACTTCCTTAAATTGAACCTCTCCAAAACCGAGTTTCTTGTCTTCCCCCCAGCCCGGACACCAACCCCCCATTGATTTCTCCGATCACATCCAACAACGCTACCATCAAAACCCACCCTGCAGGCACAGAGTACTGGGTGTCATTTAGACTCCAACCTATCCTTCCAGCCCCAAGTCCAATCTTTAACAAACTCGTGCAGATGACTCCACCTCCGCAACATCGCCAAAATCCGCACGTTCCTAACCCCAGAAGACCACTAAACAGCTCATCCACTCCCTCATCATATCACGACTCGACTACTGCAACTCCCTCCTCACTGGCCTGCCTCGCCGCTGGCTATCCCCGCTTCAGTCCATCCTGAATACGGCTGCCAGACTCATTCACCTTTCTCCAACCGCTCTGTCTCCGCCACCCCCTCTGCAATCCCTCCACTGGCTTCCGATTGCGCAACGGATCAAATTCAAAATCCTAACGCTGACGTACAAAGCTGTCCACCATACTGCCCCGAACTACATCACTGACCTAATATCACAAGTACCGCCCAGCATGCACACTCGCTCCTCACAAGACCTCCTTCTCTCTAGTTCCCTGGTCACCTCCTCCATGCCCGCCTCCAGCAGATTATCACTACTCTCCTCTCCTTTAGGCGCACCCTGAAAACCCATCTCTTCAGGGAAGCCTACCCACCCCCTGCTGCTAACTTGCCGACCTCCTCCATTCTTCCTACCACTCCATCCCCCACAGCTTATCTCCTCCTGTGCCACCACCCCCTCCCTCTAGATTGTAAGCTCGAAAGAGCAGGGCCCTCGATCCCCTCATGTTTTGCATTGTATTGGTATTGTTCTGTCACATGTTCTGTCCCCCTTTGTAATGTACAGCGCTGAGCGAACTATTGGCGCCTTATAAATACTGTATAATAATAATAATAATAAACCTGCATAGGAAATGAGACACCTGCATAGGGAATGTATGGCAGGAACCTACTGTAAGACGTTTGAGTGAAAGTCAGTCAAAGTGCTTTTTGACAGATACTGGAGCCACTTTCACCTGAATAGGGAGTGAAGCACCTGTAGTCCCCATATTAGGCCAAATCAGGTAGGGTTTGGGAGACTCCGAATTTTCTCTGGGGGAGACATACTGTGCTCCTTTTTTCTAGCTGGTCCAAATCAAAATGAGGAATGTTGTTGCTACAGAATCTGTACTTTGTGCCCCTCATACCCCCAGCATCTTACTTAGCAATGGGCTGAGCAAATCAAATGTTTACATTTAATGTACCCCTAAAGTTTACACTGGATTCACACCTGACCTGAGCAATTTTCAGAGCACATATACCTGCATTTTAGAAGTGTATTTCAAGCTTTTTATTTGTATATATAAACTTCAGGTGTTTTTGTTTTAGTCAATGGAAAGTGCACAATCAGAGCATATACAGGCATTCCTTTTGATGTCTACGGGGTCAAAACCACTCAAATCTGCCTCAAATTAAGCTGTAGCTTTTGGAGTATCAGTTGCTGACCTACATGTTCCTAAGTGCTCATATGTTAACAAGCAACAGTGAAATACATGGGATTATGTTTGTTGAGAGTTTTGGAGCTTTGAACTTTAAGATACAAAAGCTCTGGTTTGAACTGGGGCCCAATTTTATGAAATATCTAAAGAAACAGGAGAATGATGCAAGGTGAAACAGTCTATTTCCATAGACCAGTTACCTAACATTTCACATTCTTTGTGAAGAACATTCATGATTTGTATGCTTTAGCTTTCCAAAGTCAGACATGGGCTAATAAGGGTTTTTCTTTAATTCTTTATTTGAATGTACAATTTAAGGTGTACAACATGTATTGGTATTTCCACATCCACACAGGTGGGGTGAACTTAATATACAAATTACAATGACACATGATAATAGCAGGAGTGCACGTAACAGCATCAAGCTGCCAAACCAGTCCATTGGGAATATACTCTGCAGGGACATGCCTACTGTATGTGCATACTGCAGATGTAGGATTTTTATGTTAAAGTATTAAATGTGAAGTTGGAGAAAGTAGAGAAGTGTAGTAGGGAAATAGCCCAGGAAAGGGGAGCAGGGCTAAGAAGGAGGGGGAAAAAAAGAGTTCTCGAGGAGTACGCACCAAGAGGGAGGAATTGACAGAAAAGTTGGAGGCTGCTCCAAGACTCCAAAAAAGTCTCCAAAGTTATCCTGTAAAGCTCATCCTTAAAACAGATGCAAAGAATTATGTAATGAAGGAATAAAGAAGAAGTGGGCTAAGGAGGTTTTAACCATTTCAAGATCAGACTGTTTCACCCCCTTCCAGTCAAGCAAGGTATTTTTTTTAGGAAAGTAGACAGTCCAAAGTATTTAGTAAGAAGCATGGTGAGTTTTTTAAAGTTGTGATTTTTACCCAGGAGGTTTTTGTTGGTTATGTGTTAGAGAAGACACTGGTAGCGATGAGGCAGAACACTGTTTTACTTGTGTGGCTTAAGTTGCAAACATACAGAGCACATTTCAGTAGACAGTGACAGCAGACATCTTAGTTTTGAAGAGAGGAAGAGAGAAAACCAACAAGTTTTACACATATGCACAACTAGTAACCTTAGTGTACAGTGCCATCTACTGGTCAAGTGATATTAACATACAATACTGTATATAGTACATGCTGTTGTATTCTCAACAGTTTTTAACCATTTCAGTACCAACCTGTTTCACCCCCTTCCACTCCAGGCCATTTTTCAGTTTTCAGTGCTGTTATACTGTGAATGACAATTACTCAGTCATGCAACATTGTACACACATTAACTTTATGTTATCCTTTTAGATAGGTAGAATTTCTTTTAATGGTATTTAATCACCATTAGGTTCTTTATTTTTTGCTATATAAAGGAAAAAAGACCGGTAAAAAACTTCTGTTCTGTTTCTGTTATAAAAGTTTGCAAATACACTATATAGTCTTATTGATAAATTTGAGGCAAAATTTATTCTGCTACATATCTTTGGTAAAAAAAAAAAAAAAGATTAAAAAATATATTATTTAGTCTGTTTGAAAGTTAGAGTCTACAAACTATTTTATATATATTTGAAGATTGATCATTTCTGATGTACTGACTGCCTATCTCATTTCTTGGGGCCAAGATAGTATAAATACCCCCAAAATTATCCCTTTTTTGGAAAGTAGAAAGTACAAGGTATTTAGTAAAATGCTTCATGAGTTTTTTGAAGTTGTACTTTTTTGCAAAAACATTTGGAAAAAAAGAAATTAAATCATTTTTTTCACAAAGTTGTCATTTAAAAAACATATTCCTTACTCACAGCATAAGCATATTGTACTTAGAATTACAACCTAAAACACATTATGCTACTTGAGTATGGGAATATCTCATGTACATTGTTTGCAGCCTTGCCACATAGAGGGCCCCAAAATCCAAGGAACTGCTTCAAACTTTCAAGGGGCATAAATTGCATCTAATCCCACTTTTGAAGGCCCTGAAGCACCTGCACAATAGAAACAAGCACAAAATTACCACATTTTGGAAAGCAAAACACTCAAAACTATTTTCTATAGTGCGTAGTGAGTCTGTTGAAAATAAAAATTTTCTGCAACAAGTTTTTTTATTTTTACACAACTATGTAAATTAATAAGATCTTCATAACACACAGTATGGGCATATTTAGAATTACATAACAAAAAACATTCTGCTACTTCTCCTGAGTATGGGGAATCCACATGTTTGAAACTTTTTCACAGCTTAGCTGCATAGAGGGGCCCAAAATCCAAGGAGCACCTTCATGCTTTCAGATTCATGGATTTTGCATCTCATTTTCTGACTACCACATATTTGAAGGCCATGGAGTGCTTGAACAATAAAAATACCCTCAACATGACCACATTTTGGAAAACAAACACCCTGAGGTATTTTCGAAAAGGTAAGGTATCTTTTGAAGATTTAACTTTTTTGCCAAAGCTTTTTGGAAAATGTGGAAACAAAATAAAATGTATTTTTTTAAACAATGTTGTCAATTAAAAGGATATTTCTAGCAGCATAGGCATACTTAGAATTTCACCCCAAAGCACATTCTGCTACTTTTTACAAGCATGGGGATACAATGTGTCAGGAATGGACTCACCAATGGAGGTGGGACTCACCTGCCTTGTGGGCTGCAGTACCAGGGCTGGCCAGCGGGTGCTCTTGGCAGCCAGAAGCTCACTCCTGCAATCAAGCCATCATCTGAGGCTGATTGCAGGAGGTGTATTTAAGGAATGGCCAGGCCTGCAGTCAGGGCCTTGGTGTATTGTTTCCCATGAGCCCCTGGAGCTGGTATCCTGTGAATCTTCTGTTGCCGACCTCTGCATTGTTCCTGACCCTGCTGACCATCTCCTGTTTAACCCCTGGCTTGCCTGACCATCCTTCTGCCTGATCCTCTGTACCGCGCTGCCCATGAGTTACTGAACCCGGCTTGTGACCCTGACCATTCTCTGCCTGCTCCTCCGGTACCTCGCTGCCCGCACGTTGCTGACCTGGCCTGCCTGACTACGCCTTACGCTATCCAGACGATCCATCCATCCATCCCGCACGGATCTGTCCCTGTTACCAGGTCTGCCAGCCTCTTCACGTCAGGCTCCTTTCCCCGCACCACACCTCTGGCGACACTCTCTACCATTGCAGGACGTACTCAGGGGTCGCGACCTGGTCTCAGTCTGCTCCAAGTCCATCCCCACCATCAGGGGCCCTGGTGGATAAGCAGATTGGGACTTAGACCCCGCGCCCTGAGGAACCCCCGTGCTGTGGGCTGCTAGAGACGCCGCCAGACGGTGCTTAACAGTACCAAACAACCTGCCTGACCATTCCACCTCTCCAGCCCTGACTACACCTGTGTTCCCACACATCTCTGGTCATACCCGGAGTCCTGACACAACGTGTGAGATTTTCTCACAGCCTAGCTGCATAGAGGTGCCCAAAAGTACCTTCAGACTTTCATTTTTGTCACATTGTACCACAAGCTACAGTTTTCTAGTAACAAAGGTGTCTGAAAAGTGGAATGTTAGAACAGACACACATAGGTGGCATCCCTGATGGAAAAAAGGCGACACAATGTCACACACTATCATTCTGTTGCTACTCATATAAGATGGACATCCAGGGGGCTTCAGATGGCTATCTCTCCCTTTGTAAATGCTGAAGTCATATGTATACCCTGTGGCCCTCTCACATATTTTGCAGTATATAACTTCACCCCATACATGGCACATTAACTGGGGAGAAACACATTGATGTTAAATCTGCCTTCTAAATGTATGAGGGATTTGTCAATGCAGATAATTTTGTGGGGGGCATTAAATTTAGAACATTTTTGGGGAAAAAAAATATAAGTGGCCCAATTTATGTGGAGTCACTTCAGGGAGGGCACAGGGAATTGTCATCAAAATGAAAAAAAATGTAATTATTATTTTACAGCATGTTGCGTAAGACATTTAAAAGGAAAGAGTTCAGCTGGCCCAAGAAGGAGAAGGCTGATGGTGGTTATCTATGATACTAAGTGCTGTATGACTCACCTGTGAAAGGTAGTCATATAAATCTGGTGAGTGTTCTGTGTTTATGGTGGAGGATTTCGGGAACACTATGGCACTGATTGTTGGAAATGGAGCACTTTTTTGAGCACAGACACTTTAATAAGTTTGAAGGCATTGTGCATTATACTGTGAATAACTGAAAACACTTGGACACTTTATATGCACAGAGACTTTATTGACACATTATTTAAATAGTATATATGTGTGTCCAGTGCTTCCTCTCTGCAAAACCCTATAGACCCAATGTTACAATGTAAAGCATAGAAAATCACGCAAAACATGTAAACAGTGATAGGTAATTACTGTATAAAATTCCAAATGGATAACTATATAAAATTAATAAATAATAAAATTACTTCATTTTATAAACTGAATGATCATTCACAGTTATGCAGTATTCCTTCTGGGTTTCCCTGGCCCGCTAGGGGGCAGCAAAGCTGGTGCCAATATTGGATCAATTGAAGATTTTAGACTGACTGTTTGCCAGTGCACCTCTCTCGAGTGCAGGAGTTTGGTTTCTTCTCTAGTCTACAGACTCGTCAATTCCTACTAGGGATATTGAAAGAAAGATGTAAATTGAATAAAACGTATGATGTTATGTAAGTTTAAAGGGAAGGTCCAACCTTAGCAGGTGGGTGTAAGCCCTCTGATGTTCATTATTACTAATTGGGAAGCAGCATTAACATAATTTCATGAATTCAGTCAGATTTTTATAGGGCAAGAAAAGGGATTCATAGTGTGTGAAAAGAGTGCCTCAAGAGTGGTCTATAATGTGGACACATAGACCTCTTCTAAAGGAAGAAAACTGTCAACAGCTGAATGATGGATAGCCATGTGGAATCAATCTGTATGGGACAATGGTACAGAATGGAGAACCAGCAATGGCACAATGAATATTACAAACAGTGCTTGTAGAATGATTTTGGGACTAATATGCCAGTATTGTGACTTGGATAGGAAAGGAAAATAATTAAAGGAATGAAATTTAAACATACTAATCATTCTATATATTTTGAAAGACTTTATAAAGAAAACAATACAACAAGGATTAGCTGGTAAATGTTCGGTAACTATGGAGAAATGTTGCCAAGATGATTACAGATTCAGTGCTATCAAGGAGGAGCTGCAAGGACTTAGGCTCACTACATTGCAGAACTGTTATACCTTTGATATGACCTGAGCTGTAATGGGAGAAGTTTGTGCTTTTGTTTTAACCAATGATGATGGGAGCAAAAAAACTCAGGCTAAAGATTCACTGGGAATGCCAGCCTAGGGGGTTAACCTGTCAAGGTCCTACCTTTCCTCAGAGTTGGTGCTGCTCCATGTGCTGGCATCCATCTTAGGTTTCTGCAAAGCATTGTGGGAGCCTTTTATGCTTCAGGCCTCTGCGGTCCCTCCTCCAGAGGGGTGTGGTTGATCACATTTAAGCCTGTTGACTGCACTTGCTCTTTGCATTCGTGTCCTGTATTATTGTGTTGAAGCAAGCTCTTGTTCTACTCTCGTTGCTTTCCTGGAAACTGACTCGGCTTTGACAAGACTATTCTCTGCCTTATCCCATTACCTGACCTTCTGTTGCTGAACCCGGCCCGTGACCTGAGTATTCTTGCCTACCGTCTTGTACCGTCTGTTCCACTGTTATCGACCCGGCCTGTCTGACCACGCTATCATTTCCCATCTGGTTCCCACCAGCTTACGCCATTGGCGGCGACCATTGCTGCAGCTGGGGTTACTCGTGGGCCGCGACCTGGTCTCTGGCTGCGTCAAGTCCACCCCCACCATCAGGGGCCCTGGTGAAAGGCAGCCTGGGACTTAGACTCCGCGCCCTGAGGGACTCCGGTCTGCGGGTGGTGGCTGTCGTCAGTCAGTGTGTGACCCTACCATTAGGCCTGCCTGTCCATTCCACCGCTCCTGCCCTGACATAACCTTAATAAAAAGACTAACCATGACGTTTTTCTCTCCTTACTTAAAGCTTTTGTGTATTCTCCATATGTCCTTGCACAAGAGACTTGGAATAAAGGCTGCTACTACATAAACACAAGCACACTTTTGAGTTACAAAGAAGAATATGGACTCCACTGAAGATTTACAGCTGTCCTATAATAAGCAGTCATTCTTTAAAAAATGGAACTACAATACAAATGTTTGAGTGTGCTTTGTTTGTAGTCCCTTTGTTTCATATTACCCTGTTTGTATGTTGTGAGTGTTGGGATGGACACCAACAGTGGGAAACGGTAGGAAAATGGGGATTAAAGATCAAATGACCCTCTGTCTGACCAGTTATTGCACTGTTCATTTGATTTTTAGCAATATAGGAACTCTATGGGGTGAGAACAAGAGTTCTGAAACAACAGATTGTGTACGTTCTGCATACCATGTGAGATGTCTTAAGTCTCAAGATAAGAATGTTATATTCTATACACTGTATGAGTCTGGTCATCTCCAGATAAAGACCTTGGGAAGAAGGAGATTACTGTCTAAAGAATTCCTAAATGAAATTAACAATATGATGATCATTTAAAAGATACATTTACAATATGGGACATTATAAGTGTGGAAAAACCAGTAAGGAAATTTAATTTTTTTTTTTTAAACACAGTATTTTATCGTACAGATCTTTATAAAAGTACAAATAATTTTCATGTAGAAACTTAAAATTGAAATCAGTTGCAGTAAACCATCAGGATGAATTGGTTATTTATTGTGCCAATAACTCTGAGCACTACTTCATAAAAAACAACGTGTATATAATACAACTGATGTTGCTTTTATAGAAACATAGAAGATATATATATATATATATATATATATATATATATATAAACAAAATGACCATCATTGGTTGTAGATATTAGGATCATAATATCAGGATGTTGTTCCCTTCAATGCATTTAGCACTTGACTTCTTTAGGGGGAAAGAGGTAATATAGGGCAAATAAAGTTCTGCAAGTTGAATGCTGAAACTCTCCCTGCTAGCGAGACAAGAACAGGTAGGACACTGTCAATGGTGTGTCTCTCTGCCATATAATATCCCTTACTTAGATAGGCATTATTGCTGACACAGGTCTACTGAAATAGATTACTGCATGATTTTCATTAATCTGTGACCACCATTCAAACACTGAGAAATAGGTCAAAATTTGATCTTGTAATTTATTGCCCTCAGAGGCAGTCACTGAGTGGATTTCCAGTTGATTCATCCTAAGGATCGAACAGTTCAAAAATACCTCCAAAGTGTCTCTTGATATTAAATATCTCCCAACATGTGTTCCCCACACATCTCAGTAGCGAGGAGTATGGAGGAAACATATTGGAAGACATTTAATATAAAAAAAAAAATTTATTATCATGAGACACTGGCATGTAAAATGTTCCAAAATTACACTGTAACAGGACCCAAACAAGTGCTGGTTCAACTGAAAATTTGCAATAATATTGTGCATAAAAGTATGAACTAAAAAGAAAAATATCTTATTTTGCCTTAACAGAAAACAGACATGAAAAGTAATTTTCATAATACCAACATACCCTTTAATGCTCTAACTTTTAAGAATGTCCCTTCCAATACTGTATATAACTATTACAAATGGTTTTATTGCAAAACACATTGTTTTGATTTTTATTCACAGCAAATGATTAAAAACATCTGAAAAACGTAGCATTACAATATGTGTTTTTCTTTGTATCTTTGTTTCATCCACAAACATTTTTAAAATACTGCAAAAATTCAGCTTATTACAGGCAAATAAATACCCCGAGAGAAAAAGGTGAACATAGCCTTAAAAACAGTCTTCCCTGCAGCCATTAAATAGAAAACAGGTCACTATGTGCAAGTTACTGCCAATTTTAGAAGGATTATTATTGTGCTTGCTTGTTTATATTATACTTTTGGTAAATACATTACCTGAGTGAGCCTTGCTCACATTAATAAAACAGTTGTCCCTTGTGGATAAATCTCAACTTTTCCTTCACTCTTCCCATATAGAATATGTATTGAAGGCTTTATTAGCCTGTGCTGTTCCTGTTATAAATATGTTTTCACTCAGCTGAGATTATGTCTGTAAAGTGGATTTTAGACCACTGTGTTAGTGACACAAATTCATCTGGTTCTATTGCACTGAATATATCAAGACCTACAACAGCAGAAAATAGATACTGACAGGTGAATTCACAAACTGAATTGAGGACTTTTGTAGCCACCTTTAAAGCAAACTGTTATTATTTCAAGTACACGCAAGTCACATCTTCATGTATGTTTTTGAGCATATTTTTTTTTCTATGTACACCTTTTTTAAACAGTACTGAATCTTCAAGCATTAGTACTGTCTCATAACTAGCTGTGGAAGACATATAATCATTTTAGATGGGAACAGGGCATTTTCCTTTTTACTACCCTTCTATGTTTTTGTTCTTCTAGATTAGTGGTTTTCAACATTAGTGAGACCAGGGCTCGTAAATTCTTCCAAAAGTAACATAAAAATCACTTATACAATAAAATTATAGGTATACAAAATATGTATCAAAAAGGGAGTAAACAGTGAAAAATATGAGTTACTGCAATTTAACCATCTAACTACCAGTCTGTATACCCCTTTAAAACCAGGCTGTTTTTTTAGCTTCTAACGCTGTGATAATTTGACTGACAATAGCTCCATCATGCAACAGTGTACCAAAATGAAATGACCATATTTTTCGCTCCAGAAGACGCACTTTTTTCCCCTGGGCCGGCCACTCGGCTCTACTGTGCAGAAGAACCTACTCCTCGGTCCTACCTGTTCCTCGGTCCAGTGGTGTCCTGCTTTCACCGGCCGTGTTCTCTCCCCAGCACCAGCATCTTCAGTGTAGGCACCCGGCTGTGACAGCTTACGGCTTCACAGCCAGTTGCCCACTGTGCATGTGTGAGAAGCGCTGCACTTTGTGACTGGCCACCTGTAGTCTTCTGGGACCTGTCACGTGTCCCACAAGAGTACGGGGAGGACAACTCCGAGGAAATGGGAGTGGGTACTTGTCAAATTTGGGTACCCGCCTCCCCCCGCTCTCCAAAAGGTCCCCGCAGTCTCTGGTCATCCCCTGTACTGTGTCCGCAGTCTCTGGTCATCCCCTGTACTGTGTCCGCAGTCTCTGGTCATCTCCTGTACTATGTCTGCAGTCTCTGGTCATCTCCTGTACTATGCCTGCAGTCTCTGGTCATCTCCTGTACTATGGTGTCCATTTATGAAACAGCAGTAATAGATCGCTGCTCATTTCTCCAGCATTCTCAGTGAACACAGTTCTCCTGTGAATGCTGTTTATGAAGCATATGTAGATCAGTTCTCCAAACGAAGAGAGAACGGTCTACAAAAGCTGGAAAACGGCTGATTTTACTATAATCTCATGAGATTACAGTAAAAGATCAGTTTACTAAGCAGAGGTAAATTATCTCTGCTTAGTTTGCGGTCCCTCCGATTCTCCAGCTCTGGGCTGGAGAATCTGGAGGGAGAACACAGATCGCCAGGGAAGGGCTGGACATGTTCTCCTGAGTGTTATAAACTGTGAATGACCAGAGAATAGCTGCGATCCTCTGAATCACAGCTATTCTCTGTGTCATAAAAGGACACCCATGTCTGCAGTCTCTGGTCATCTCCTGTACTATGTCCGCAGTCTCTGATCATCTCCTGTTCAGAATATTTTTTTTCTTGTTTTCCTCCTCTAAAATCTAGGTGCATCTTATGGTCAGGTGCGTCTTATGGAGCGAAAAATACGGCAATATTATTTTATGGGACAAATAGATCTTTCTTGTGGTGGTGTTGAAAGTAGAACCAAAGGTATTTTTCTATTTTGGATATAGTAAGGAAGGGTTATCACCCTGTCAATTTTTTTTTGATAAAAATATTCCATTGGAAAATCTTCCCTTCACTTCCTGTCCCAGAGGCACAACAGGAAGGGAGAGGAAATTCCCCAAAGTAAGGGAAATATCCAACGGTACCCAGGGTCACTAGAACCAGTGTCTCCATTGGAAGATTTTCCCCATTTCTTCTGCTGAAGATTACCACTCTTTTTTATTATTTCATTACTATACAGCATATAGGAAAAAGACCAAAACTGTTGAAAAAGAAAACTTCCCTTACATTCTGTTAAAATACATAATTTCAGAACTGTATAGTCACCCCAGTAAATACTCTTTTTGCAAGATAGACACCCCAAGGTGATTTACATTTTTTGACAAAACTTTTTTGAAAATAAAAAAAAACATGCTGGTGTTGGGATAGTTAAACATGGATCTTAGTAATATTACACTAGATACAGCTTAATTTTAATGTACATTTGACATACAGTGGGAGGATGGAGATGATGGGAGTTGTGCACAGATGTTCAGTACAAGTGAGGAGAAGAATGGAGTGAAGGGAGGGTGGAAGGTGTGATTATATTTGGTCTGGGAATGGGGACCATAATCAAAATAATTATTTAGCTTGAAATTCGCAAACTGATAAGTCATCTAAGGGACACAGAGCGGGCTTATATACTGTAACCCAACCCCAGAACATAGCTATCAACACAGAAATGTATTTTCAGGGCCTATAATAACCACTTAAGGAAGGCCCACCAGCAATGTACTGTGGATGGGTGGCCCATTCAGGAACAGCAATGGCCGGGATCAGCTGTGTCCAAACACAGCCCAGAGCCCTGCATTGACAAACACAGGGCTCTGTACAGAGGGAACAATCTATATTAAAACAATCTATTCAAAGATTTTTAGTAAAAAGCAGTACACAATACACACATTAACACTTGTCGGCATACACTTAACCCCTCGATTACTCAAGATGTTAAACCTTCCCAGCCAGTGTCATTAGTACAGTGACAGTATACAATATTATCACTGATCACTGTATTAGTGTCACTGGTGATGTCAGTGTCAATTAGTCAGTTCCCATCCTGTGTCAGTCAGTGCCAGATTGTCTACCACACTATCACAGTACCACTATAGGTTGATGATCACCACCATTAATAGTAAATAATTTTTTTTCTAGTGTATATACCATGGTTTGTAGACACTATAACTTTAATGCAAACAAATCAATATACACTTTGTTCTGCTTTTGATGAATTATGAATTATTAATAATTCAGCCAGCAGTACCTTCAAAAGTGATATGTTCTGTCAGATAATGCCTGGACAATTAATTGAGTGCGCTAAAGGTGCTTGCAAATATAACACTAATTTATAAAATAATTTAACTGGCTTAATTAATAATTCTGAGTAATTTAAAGCCAACCAAAATCCTTTTCAACAAATACAAATTTGATAATTGGAAATATGGACTACAGATTATGAAATAAATTATTTATTTACAAGAAGTCACATACAGTATAAACACATAATGTATAAGCTCGATTGTGATGCACATAGACACCAAGATAATTTGCATAAACTTTACAAAAATTCTCTGTATCACTAGTTTATTCTGAACCATTTAATTTCATTATGCTTCACGACTTGTTGCCAAATCACTAAAGTGGCCCTCCCTCTTCAATAGGTTGAGCACCCCTGGCATAGGAAAACAGTAAATAGTATTTGGTTAGTATAATCAAATGTACTTGCAAATAACATTCGATCTTTACATTTTTTCCAGGATTTATTTGTGGCCACATCACTGTTCATTATCCCTCAGGTGCTCTAAGTCCCTTCAGGGGGTGTTTCTGAAGTGGGAAGGGAAATGATGGGTGTGGTGATAAATAGTGCCCTCATTCCTTGTAGAAACCACATATGGAAAAACCCTCTTTTTGATGAGATTTTTAAGGCACAAGCAAAGCAAATAGAACTATTGGGTTGATAAAAGTTTTATAAAACCACCCTTTATTAAACTCAGAGTATTTAAACGTTACCACATACATTGCATAATTGTTACAGTTAGTGCACAGGCAGGAGAAATGAAATGCGGATCATGAAAAAGCACTTGAAACATTTCGAGATGATAGGCAATCTCTTCCTCAGAAGTGCTTAATTAGAACATGATGCCTATGATATAAATATATAAGTATGATTATAACACTATGTACATCCATTTACAATTTCATTTACAAATATATGAAAAGCACTTACGTATTCCAACATTGGAACAAAGATAGAGGACCGCCACTTGTTATAAAACTAAAGATCATATGTGTAGTCGCTGTATCCCAAATCCTCCCAGATCGGTGTAGGGGACAGGAAGCCACACTGCCCCTGTTGCCTCCAAGAGCAGCCCCCACCAAGGGGACAGGCCAAATATTTCAAAGTTCCAATTGATCTTTAAAAGATATATTAATAATAATGTAAAAAATAAATAACTAACAACCTGACGCGAAAAATGCTACTCCATATTGCCCTTATTAGGGCAAAAATATGCTTACTAAACAAATCTAATACAGATCATCTTCCGCATGTACAGCCACAGATTGTTGCTTCAAACTGGCATGGAAAAATTTCCTTGGTATTTATAAATATATAAAAGAGATCGTATATATTGAGTATATAAACAGGATGAATGTATGCTAGTGAGTAGAAATCAAAATATCTAGAAAGGACATACCAGCTGCACCAAAAAGGTGGAATAATCTGTCCACTGGCTCCATATGCACAATGTGGGCAGTAAAGATGGTGTCTTATATTGGAAGAGATGGCTTGGAATTACAGCATTCCCAGTCCACACAAAAATGAATGAGCCGAGGTGGCCTATAATGCTTCTGGTCTTCCATGGTAGCCACACCCTGGACACGGGATGTGGTGGCATCATGGCCAGCATCAGCGTGATGACGTCACACAGCCGCCGGTGCGCAATACGAACCCAGAAGTGTCGGCGACCAAAAAGAGAGAGGTCAGACCAGACCTTGCTCTGATCGTGATCACATGGTGACCATGCCCCCCAGGGTCAATAGCTGCCACCCCTACTGAGGCAAGACCAGCAGCCTTTGCGTGCCAGGGAGGCAAACCTGACACGGCAATGGGGGAAGGAGAGGGGGGAGAAACAAGAATACCACCATGATTCCTGGAGAGGAAAGATGGAACAAGGGGAACTTAGTGGCTAGACAAATAACTAATACAATATACATAAATTTACATAAATAAATATTAAAATAAAAAAATTTTGGTAGTGCAGCAAACACCTATAGCTGTATGTGCTTTCCATATAGTAGGGGATATGCTGGATGATGAGTGGGATATTTCAGCTCAAAACAACATGAATGCCCCTGCAAGTAATGAATAGAGTGTCATAAATTCTCACATCCTCCAGAAACAAAGCTTTCCAAAAAAGGCTTAAAATACATAAATTCATTAAGGTCAGGAAAAAGTTGTGGCATCTAATCTTTGAATCCATCTTATCTTGTTCTGGAGCAGGCTCTTATTCCAGTCCCCTCCATGTGGGCTGGGATGGATCCTATCCAAAAACAAAAATAGAATTTTGGGAAAAGTACCCCCATGTAAATCAGCAGTGTGGCGCCCCAGTGGTACCTCAACATTGTTGGACTTCATATTGTAAATGTGACAGTAGGCCGGACACCAAAATTCCAATTTTGTTTTTCCTACATAAAAACAATTACAATCACAGGTTAGCAGATAAACCACTCCCTTTGTTTTACGTTTACCATAGTGTTTAGGTGGTAATTTTTCCCCATTAGGTAAAATTACTGATTTTTTGTGCTCATATAGCGACAATAGTTGCACCCACTGCATCTATAGGTACCTCGATATTTACAGGGGTCATAGCTTCCTTGTGATTTATATTCAATATGTACTAGTAAATCTTTGATGGAACTGGCTTGTTTGAAAGTATACGTAGGAGTCTTAGATATAAATGTATTGATGGTTGGGTCGATAGTAAGAAAATGGCAATACTTTTTCACAATCTTTTTAAATTGCATGTGTTGGTTGGAAAATGTTGTTATTTTTTTAGTAGCTTGATAGCGTAAGGTCTGTCTAGATTTATTATATGCTTTTTTAAAAGCCTTTTTAAGACAAGCTGAGGAATATCCTATTGCCAAATGATGTTTTAATTTATCTGTTTCCTTTTTAAAGAACTCGTCATGTGAACAATTCTGTTTAAGTAGACTAGGATGGAAACTATTTGCATGCAAAATAGTGTTGTCTGCGGTAGATTTACGATATAGGTAACTAGGGTATTATCTTCTTTTTCTGTGAATCTGTACATCCAAGAAAGAGATAGTTTTAATGTCAAAGGTCATGGTAAATTTTAAATTTAAATCATTAACATTGATTTTATCCAAGTATTATTTAATTTGGCAACTGAACCCTCCCATATCATGAACACATCATCGATGTATCTATACCAAAGGGCCAGTTGGGGGCCAGTTCCATGGTATCCATCCAGGTACGTTCCCACTCCCCCAGGTACAAATTGGTGTAGGATGGGGCACAACAGGTGCCCATTGCTACGCCTTGTACCTGGAGGAAGTGGGAACCATTGAATGAAATAACATTGCAATGCAGAATAAAATCCAGCAATTCCACGATAAATTCACTGAAATGCCAATCATCACGAGCCTTTTGAGAAAGAATGTGTCTTATACAGGCTAAGCCTTTAGAGTGCAGTATAGAACTATACAATGCTTCAATGTCAATGGCCACTAAAAAAAGCTGATGGAGAAATTTTAAGTCCATCGACAATTTTAAGTAGGTGGATTGTGTCTTTGACATATGTGGGCAAACTCATTACATATGGTCTTAAATGATCATCAATAAGTCTACTTAAATTTTCAGTTAATGAACCATTACCCGTAATTATTGGTCTGCCTGGGGGTGCTTTGGGACCTTTGTGTACCTTGGGTAAAGGGTAGAAAGTGGGAGTACGCGGAAAACTACCCTCACGTAG